TTAGGATATCGATCTTCAAGTGTTCAATTTCAATTTTTTCAACTTCCAACTTTCCTAGGTTCATGCTTTGTGCATTTCACATTCTGATTATTAGTGGCTGTTTGGAGGTGTTTCTTCTCTTTTTGAATCATATCACATAGTCAAGGTCCCAGAAATTTTACTCCATCCATGCCATTAAGGTCAGCTCTACTTTGAGGAGGAAGTTCTTCCCCAGAGCTTTTCTCTTGCGCTAAAGTAAGACCAAATAAGAACTGTAAGCACCTGTTCCAACTAAATTACCCATTCAGCTTAAAGACAGTCTTAGAAATAGTTCATGCCTGGAACTTTGTCTGTATGGCCCAGTAGTCTTGTTAGAGTTCCATCTTTGTGAATTTGTTTCCTCACGGTGTTATTTAACTTACTCCTCTATCCCTTGTATTTTACATAAACTAGACATTAGGTCTAAAGGCTTGAGTAGATCTAGGTAAAGCATTTTGGGCAATAATACTTCAAAAGTGATCTGATATGCATTGTGTTCCATCATATCCCACAACAAGAAGCATGTAAAGTAAGGTTGACTCACTATTAGTGGTGCTTAATGTTTGATCACCTGATTTGGTGATAGTGGCAAGATCTCTCCATTGTAAAGTAATCTGTGTGTGATCCTTTGATTATGAAAGTGTTATGTTCTGCAGCAGTCTTCCACTTAGCAGTTTTAGCATCTATTGAGAGTTGTCTGAATACATGATTTTTGGTGGTGGTGGTGGCCTTGAAGTTAAGTTCCATTGACATCTTCTAGAACATGGTTTAAAAAAAAAAAAAAAAAAAAAAAAACTTGTATAACTCCTACTATCCTAGAAATAGAGATTTTGTATCTTAACTTTTAAAGTTGTTCCATCTTAACACACCCCCCCAAGTTTGTCTTATTGATTGAATTAACAGTAGAATAACTTAAGGTAAAGATAGTGTTTTGTAAAAACAAAAAGATAGGGTTTTGAAACAAAACCAGGGGTTCACTGTTAGCACCCTTTAGTATTTCTTTTGCTGTAGTATTGTATTTTCTTCCTGGTCATGCACAAGTTGGGATAATACCAGAGGATGGACATACCAAAAAACAAGAAGACTTTTATTTTGTATTTTTTTTCCTGTATTTGTATTACTCATAAAGCCCCTTGTATTCTTCCCCACTGAAACTTGGTTCAGCTTCTATCTCAGAACGTTTTAAAGTTCATTAGTTAAACTTAAAATTTTTATCAAATGGGAAAGTAATTGGAAAATATTACCATGATAAGCTTAAATCTGCTAGTGAGAGTGTACATTTTTTATAACATTAATAAGTAAATTTTTCATGTTACAGAACTAATTTTGCTATATATTAAAAGCGAGATGGACTATATGGAGTCGCCAAGCACTCTGAGACCGACTCAAGGTTTTAAGTCCTTTAATTCTGGGGTCAAGAGGTGGCTCATGCCAGAATGGACTCTCGACCCAGAAGAGCAGCTTCACGGGGTTTATAAAGACAAAACCCACAAGCAGGCAGGGTGTAATATTGAGTATCTCTTTTCTATCATTTGCAAGCAATCTTTTACAGAAGCAAAAAGCAACGTCAAACCTAATCTAGCAAATAACACCTGTAGAGAAACTCCTTGGCATTGTGGTTGAGCCTCATCCGCTATAGGGGCTTCAACTAGGACTCAGCTTTTGCAAGCAGACTTTTACAGAAGCTGAAAAAGCATTATACCTGCTCTAGCAAGTCTATAGGCAACACCTGGCATTGTGATCTGTCTCTGTGGTTGGCATAGGGGCTTAACTAGGTCACCATGTTCTGCCAGAACAGATGGGGTGGTCTAGGCCTGCAGCCTTTCAGTTGAAGCAGGATGGGGTGGTCTAGACCTGTAGCTCAAGGAAAAAAAAAATTATGGGGATATCACTGTGTCAAGATGGAGTCAGTTAAGCTATCTGGCTCATCACAATTTAACTTAATTAAGTTAGGATACAATGATATTTGCTTAGATTAAAATGTTCAGTCACTGAAGGACTTTGTTTATAAGGAGTGGTGAGGTTATGGGAATTTTTTTTTTTTATTGGAAATACTGCTTTATGTATTATATGCTAATGGGAATATTCTAGTGGTAAGAGAGAAACTGATAGAGAGCATAAAGCTGGGAGTTCTTAACCCATTGAAAGGGTTGAACTAAATTTCAGGGATAATTCATCTGTTACAGGAGCAGAGGGTGCCAGTTTGTTGGTCATTTTGATGCTGGAAAGATAGTAGTTCTCTTTTGTTTGATTCTGTTTTCTCAGCAAATAGCAAGCTTATCTGCTGAGTATGGGGTTAGTAGTGTTGAAGGCTTACTTGAGATATGAGATTATAAATATGATGTTACATTTTGTGTGTTTTGCCAGCCATACTTACCTGTTTAAGCTTAGGCACAGTCAGCAAGGTATTGGTTAGAGTTTTGCTCCAAAACCACATTGATGAACAGAAGGATAAGAAAATTAAGATAAGCAAGGGAGTAACTCTAGTAATTGATCTTCTTTGGAATGTAAGCTGAATAAGGAGGGAAGTTTGTTCTTGAGAAGGATTATGGGACAGTGAAGAAATGATAAAGCCACTGTAACTTTAAAGGATTGGTAGAGTAGGAATGCAATAGTAAGAAAGCTGGGATAATAAGAGGTGGTTTTGCATGTGCAGTGATTGAGATATTTTGGAGGTATTGCAGTTATTGGCGATAATAAGGTACTGAGAAGTGGGGGTAATGTTCTAAAAGAGACATAAAATGTTGAAGTGGTTTTGGAATTGGCTACGGAGAGGCTAGAAGAGTTTTTTAAGATACCTAATAAGAGGGGTTGCTGTGAGTCAGAGCTGACTCAACAGCAGTGAGTTTGTTTTGTTTTTTTTTAATAGTAAAAGACTAGGAGCTCAAGTGGTGTAGTGCCTAGGGCATTTGACTGCTTACCAGAAGACTGGCAGTTCAAACCCACTAGCCACCCCTCGGAAGGAAGATTGGGCAGTCTACTTCCTCCATACAGCTACCACTTTGGAAGCCCAAGGAGGGGTCACTGTGAGTCAAATTGACTCAACGGCAGTGAGTTTGGTGTTTTGGTTTAATAGTAAAAGGCTAGGTGGCCTTGAAGAGACTGTTGTCAGAATTATGGATCTCAAAGGCAGTTTTGATGAGGGCTCAGAAAGAAGTGAGGAGAGAGCCATAGAGAAATTCTCTGTTGTCTTAGAGAACACACATGGCACTGGCAACATTCTATTGCTAGAAAAGTGGATGGTAAATGTGCTTCTGGTAAGGCTTTAAAAGAAAATTAACATGTGATTGGACAGCGAAGGAAAGGTGATACTTTTTTTTGCAGGAGCAAAGTACTTGCTGGATTATGTTCAGATACCTGGTGGAAGGTAGAACTTGTTATCCATGAACTTGGATATCTGCTGATGAGATTTCTAAACAAGATCTTAAAGGGGCTGCGTGGTTTCTCCTTGCTGCTGATAGTAAAATGTGAGAGGAAAGAGATGGATTTAAAAAGGAACTGTGCAAACAGAAGACAGGCATATGAATTGAACATTTACCTGAAGTAGATACACTCCTTGGAGAGAACAATCATGGGAGAAAGAAGCGCTGCTTATGCACAGAAAGACAGCTCAGGGGGCAGAAGTACATGGAGGGATGGACACAGGAAAGAGGTAACTATGGGGAAGAAGCGGGAGGGGAGCTGTTGCATTGTGGTAAATTGTGGTCAATGTCATGAGACAAAGTGTATGTGAACTGCTGTATGGAAAGTGAATTTGATCTGTAAATGTTCACCCAAATCACAATTAGAAAAAAAATGAACTGTGCAAAATTAAAACAGGACTTAAAGATTTGGAGAAATCTGTGTTGCACAAATAAAGGATATGTGTCCTAGAATTTTCACCAAGAACATGGCTACACAGTCTTTGGTGAAAGAAGTTAAGTGTGACTTATGGATCTACTTGCAGGAGCAGAAAATCCATCAGCTTAGACTAAAAGAGACAGAGAAAGCATGAAAGGAAAGAATGCTGTCTACCTCTTGGAATCCTGGAGGTAGGAAAAGTGCCAGAGGAGCTACTCTGTTCCCCTCCAAGAAAAGAAGACTAATCCTGGAGTAGCTTTTAGATCAGCAGAACTATTGGGAGAAATGTGGGAAGCTGGGTCTCCCCATTTCAAAGAGTGGGCCACAGCTTTCTGGATCTCACAGGCTGGAGCCACAGCCTCCTAGGTTTCAAAGAGTCACATATTCACCAACTTGCTTCAGGAATGTAGAGCTGCTGTTAGAGCATGCCAGAGGAGTGGGGCTGCCATGGCCAAGGAGCAGAAGGACAGGGTCTGTGGGGTGGAGGGAGTGGAGTCACAATTCAGATGGACTAGGACAGTGGGGCATCTGTAACAGTGGGATCGAACAGCAATGATTGTGATGATGGTGCAGGACTGGGCAGCTTCCTTCTGTTGTCCGTAGAGTTGCCCTGAGTCTGAATTGACTTCACAGCACCTGACAGCTGCAATAGTAGGTTGTGAACATGGAAATAGCTGGCTGAAGTGAAGTAAGTAGTTTGCAGTGAGGGTGTTGAAGAACCTGGGAAGCATCCGTGTTTTTCTGACTTCTAGCCACAAAATGGGTTGGGATGCAGTCAGGGAAGTCAAGCAGCTATACTGTGATGGTGATGTCAGTTGCTGTCCAACTGATTCCAACTCAGGGCAACACATGGACTTGCCATGATCTGTACTGTATTCCAGTTGATCTCTGAGGAACTTCACTTTTGATTCTTATAAATGTCATAGCCTTCCTCACTTACAGAATACAGTACCTCCTTTCCTCACTTCTGTTGTGTCCTGTTCTAAGAATCTAGGAATCTCCAGCTCTTAGGAAATAAATGCTCTGGGCCAAATACATTTTAGCTAATACTTATATTTAAATTTTGTGATACATTTAATGGCTTTCTGATGTTTCCTTATTTTGCTCTTTTGATCCTCTAGTAATAAACTGTTATTTCACCTATTTTACAGAGCACTGGTGATTTTCAAATATTTTTGCTGAATCGGTAGGAGACACTTGGATGGTGGATTAACAAGAACATTGAAATTCTGTGAGAAGTTTCAAATTGGAGAATATCAAATTTTCACCCTAGTCAAGCAGCTGTGCTGCTCACTTAAATACAGATGAATGAAGACCCCATTCGGAAAGACACCTGGCCAGCGGTCCAGAGCTGATGCAGGTAGGCAATGTGGGTACAAGCAGACTATGAGGTACTTACAGTTTTAGTATAATAAGTTTAAAACAAATGCAAGGTTGAGGAGCACTTTCATGTAGTATCTAGTGGTTTGCTGTTTTTTGTTTTTAAATTGGGATGTGAGTGCAAATTTATACAAGCAGATTTGTTTTACACATAACAGTTCGTGCACCTTTTGTTTCACACCCCGATTACAATACCCAACCATAAAAGCCTCTCCTCCCATCTCTTTTCTGTGGCTATCCTTTCCATGTGCCCATGTTATCTGTGTATTCCTGTCTCTACAGCTTTCCTTCTATGCAAATGCTGCCCTTCTGATGTCTCTCGGTTGATTGATCTATGCAGTACATCTCCCTCGGGTAGGTGGGTACATCTTCCTGGGGTAGGTGTTCTGCCTGTAGGTCTTTGTACTCTTTGGCTAAGAGCTAATCCACAGAAGTGAGTCTATTTCTAGGCCTGAAGAATAAACTTGGGACATAGTCTCAGGGTTTCAACCAGCCTCTGTCTGACCACTAATTCTGGTCATTATTGTGTTTTTTACTTTTGTTCCACATTTTTCCTCCTGCTCTGTCTAGGATCTCCAATTTTGATCCCTTTCCTAGTGGTTAGCATTGGTAGCTGGACATCATCCCGTCTAATTCTTCTGGGCTCAGGGCTGTGACGGCTGAGGTACTCGTGGTCCATCATACCTTTGGACTAATTGTTTCCAAATAACTTTGATTTTGTTCACTCTTCCCTTGCTCCAGATGAGGTGAGAACAGTAGTTAGTTGCATCTTAGATAGTGGTTTACTGTTCTTAAAGCTTCACTATTTCCAGCGTTTTGTGAGAAACCAGAAATTTGATAGTTAATTTACATATGCTTACACACTTGTGGAAAAAAACGTTTAATTTCTTTTTTTTTTTTTTTCCCCTGTTATTTGGGTAAAAATTTACAGAGCAAATACGCTTTCCATACAGCAGTTAACATACACTTTGTCTCATGACATTGACCACAGTTTACCACAATGCAACATCTCCCCTCCTACTTCCTCCTGATAGTTACCTCTTCCCTGTATCCATCCGTCCATTCACTCCTGCCCCATGAGCTGTCTCCCTGTTCATAAGCAGCCCTTCTTTCTCCCATGCTTGTTCTTTCCAAGGACTGTATCTACTTCAGGTAAATGTTCAACTCATATGCTTGTCTATTGTTTGACTGGAAGCCACAGGCATGTGTTCAATTCCAGACCTAAAGGGCAGCTAGGGACCATAGTCTCAGTGGTTCAACCAGGCCCTATCAGACCAGCAAACCTGGGCCCCCCCCCCTTTTTTTTTTTCAAATTATTTTGAGTTTTGTTCCACATTGTTCTCCTTCTCTATCCAGAATCTCCTACATAGATTGATCCTCTTCCAAGAGGTTGACAGTAGTAGCCGGGCACCATCTAGTTCTTCTGGTTTCATAGTCGTATAGGCTACAGATTGGATGGTGTACCAGTCGCTAGGACTAATTGTTTCTATGAATTTTTGGTTTTCTTCATTCTTCTTTGCTCTGGATGAAGAGAGACCCATCATTACATCTAGATGGCACTTGCTAGCTTTTAAGATCCCAGTCGCTACTTGCCACAGTAGGACGTGGAACAATGTTTTGTATAGTATGTTATGCCAATTGAGCTTGATTTCCCTGCGACTATGGTCCTGAGCCCACAGGTTAAACTACTCAGTCACTCTGGGTACCTGGCTGTGACCAAGCAGTGACTACAACCTTGCCCCTTGTCAGCTCCGCTATATACCTGGGAATTCAGATCATATACATAAAGTTATAGGACCATTGTCTGTCAACCCTATAAGTGTTCTTGGGTACACTCCCCACTTCATGCACATACCTAATAGTTCAGCCTGTCCACCCATCTATCTGCCCATATACCCATGTTTGTCTTCACTGACAAAGCGGTACTATATGTGCAAAAGGGTTCACATTTGTTGTCTGTACTTCCCACATACCTCTCTATGTCCTTCTCTTCCTCAGTGCCACTGTATTGATCACTCACATTTGGTACATTGCCCTTCTCTTCACCCAAATAAAAACTTATCTCTATCTATCTAACAGCAGCACCCCCCCCCCAACACCCTTGGTAACCAACAAAAAAATGTCCTTCTATAGATAAACATTTCCTTGACTTTTACAATAACTGACTAATAGAATATCTGTCCTTTTGTGATTGAATTATTTCACTCAGCATAATGTCCTCCAAGTTGAGCCATGTTATGTGGTGTTTTGCAGATTCTGCGTTATTCTTTTCTTTTTTTTTAATGTGATTTGGGTGAAGATTTACAAAGCAAATTCACTTTCCATAGAGCAGTTCACATATACTTTGTCTCATGACATTGACCACAGTTTACCACAATGAAACAGCTTCCCTCCCACTTCCTCCTGATAGTTACCTTGTCCCAATGTCCATCCGTCCATGCACTCCTGCCCCCTGAGCTGTCTCCCTGTGTATAAGCGGCCCTTCTTTCTCTCATGATTGTTTTCTCCAAGGGGTGTATCTACCTCAGGTAAGGGTTCAGTTAATATGCCTGTCTTTTGTTTGGCTGGAAACCACAGGTGTGGGTTCAATTCCAGACCTGAAGGGCAGTTAGGGTCCATAGTCTCAGTGGTTCCACCAGGCTCTATCGGACCAGCAAACCTGGTCCCCCCTCTCCCCTTTTTCTTTTTTCCCTCCAAATGATTTTGACTTTTGTTCCACATTGTTCTCCCTCTCTATCAAGGATCTCCTACATAGATCCCTTTCCACATGGATGACAGTGGTATCCGGAACCATTTAGTTTTTCTGGTCTCATAGTCGTGTAGGCTGCAGATCAGATGGTGTGTCAGTCACTAGGACTAATTGTTTCCATGAATTTTGGTTTTCTTCATTCTTCTTTGCTCTGGAAAAGGAGAGACCTATCGTTACATCTAGGTGGCAGCTTGCTAGCTTTTAAGATCCCAGTTGCTATTCGCCAAAGTAGGAGGTGGAACAATGTTTTGTGTAGTATGTTATGCCAATTGAGCTTGATGTGCTCTGCAGCTGTGGTCCCAAGCCTGCAGGTTCAATTACTCGGACCATCTGGGTAGCTGGCTTGTGACCCAGCAGTGACCACAGCCTTGCCCCTTGTCGGCTCTACTATACAACTGGGAATTTTGATCATTCACATAAACTTATAGGACCATTGTCTGCCAACCCTATACATGTTCTTGGATACACTCCCCATATCATAGACATACCTAATCTTTGAGCCTGTCCACCCATCTATCCACTCATATACCCATGTTTGCCTTCACTGACAACACAGTGCAAAGTATGTGCAAAAGGGTTCATATTTGTTGTATGTACCACCCATGTGCCTCTCTATGTCTTATCCTCAATGCTGCCATATTGGTCACTCACATTTGATACATTGCCCTTCTCTTCACCCAAATCAATACTTTTCTCTCTATCTATCTAACAGTGCTCCCTCCCTTCCTCTCCAACAAAGAAAATTTCCTTTTATAGATGAACCTTTCCTTAACTTTTACAATAATGGAC